GTCAGGTTTCTTGGTGTTGCAGGATGTATTGCATATTGTATTGAAACTCCTCAAGTGAACCCTTTTCATTGTCTTTTTTTGACATGATTGACACGACACATCAAATACAAACGTCAAAAATGACAAATATTTGACCAATCACAAACACGCGCGTGTTATCAAATATGATGCGATTTTTTTGGCGCCAAAGATGCCACCGTTTAAGTGTTAATCATTCCTGCTGTGTACATTAAAGTATAGTTTCTAGTTTTTATATCTGTACTGAATGATTCAAGATGTCTTTTGGAGATTAAGTAGATACAGGAAAAAAACTATCTGCTGCCATCTTATCGGGTGCCAAGAGAAGAGGTTAATGTTGAGTGGTGACTAACTAAGCATCGACGCAACACAATCACTCTTACTTGAAAATTACGATTTTAAATATTTCTGGTTCCAAAACGCCGTAACAAAATCAGTATCATAGGCAAGTAAAGTTTGTTAGGTCTCTCTCGATTCGGGTTTTTTTTTCCTTCCTCCGTAAAACGAAAATGCTAAATCCCAATTCGATCTGTGAGTTAGCCATGCCCTGACTCAAAGATCAGCCCAGAGGCTCTTCAGGGTATCGATCTGTGAGTTAACTGTGCTTTGACTTTTATCAGATGAGAGGTTGTTTCTGGGTTTCGATAGAACTGAAAGTTTGAAGGTCGAAATCTTGGAAATACAAATATTTACGTGGTGAAATAAGAGACAGCCTTATAAAGGAAGAATTCTTACTTTTAAAAGGTAGTTCAGTCTAGCTAATAGTATAGAACTCCTGATGTTTGTTAACCTTTGGGAATCGATTTCTTTGTTTACTTTGCATCCACAATAGTGTATCATCTCAATCATTGGTTCCGGTAAACAAAAGAATTATTCTCAAGGGAATGACACGTCTGAAATGGGAAGGAATGCACTATACCCAAAGTATAGTTCATTTCGGGTGCAGTTTTTAGAAAGCCTAGTCCCTAATTTTATTCTATTTTTTTTCTTTCAGATCCTTTTAGTGCTATTTATAACACTGATGGCAATAAATATGTCCTTGGGGAAAACAGTTTTCTTGTTGCCTAGCAACCAAAATGGCATCAACGAGCAGTGCCAGCCAGCCAAGCGAGAGCTCCTACTCCAGAAACTGGGCCGAGCTTATAATCACCACTTCATGGCAATGGATTTCGTAGATTTAACTACTAAAACCGCTGACCAGCTGGAATCACTGCCAGAAGACGCACTTCATGAAAGCCGCTATGGATCCGCGAATGAATCAATACGAGAAAAGCGAAGCTCAGCTACTAAACCAGCAGCGTGGACCTGTCAAACCACAAGCAAATGGATTGATATGGGGAGAAATTATTTTCCCCGTTATTACAAAACAGTCAAGTGCTCCTCTAATGATTGTTGGTTTGGCCACTTCCGGTGTAGAGCGAAGTTCTTCCAGTTTCAGATTCTGAAACGAAAATCCGGAGCATGTAGAAAGGTCATTTCGAGCTCTGGAGTTCCTAGTTTTGAAGAGTTCTGGGAACTCCACGAAGTTGATACTGCTCTTTATTGCATGTGCACTAATTGACCCCACCCCTCCCCCTCATAACCATCATTTTTATTTTCAATTTATTAATTGCAAGGAGTTGAAATTCTTAGAATTTTTGAGGTTTTTTTTTTTTTTTTTTTTTTTTTTTTTCCCGAAATAATATCAGTGGTTTTTTATGAACCAGATTTCCACAGATGTTGATATTTTCGGCGCTTTACTCGTGTCATAACCATTATTTTTCATGGATTTAATCAAACAATATTTATCACAATTAAAAACAGGTTAAAAAAAGATTCCGCCAACTTGTTTTCTCCAGATTTAGCTCTCGCCCTTCATAAATAAAATTTGTTTTAATTATGTATTTATCTAAAGTTCAGAAACTCYAATGTGTTGATATTCAGCCCGTGAAGCTCAAGTGAAGCTCATTTTGTTGAACTTTACTCAGCATTTGATGAATGGTTTCAGTGAAGTCCAGATTCAAAATGGCGGCCCACGGGAAAGTAGGAACGACTTGAAAATGAATGTTAAAAAGTCTTTGAATTTCAACCTCTTTTGAATATAAATACGACCTTGGTTTAAGATTAATTTTGATTTTTATTTAGTTTTTTATTGGATGGTTTTATTATTGAATTTGATTCACTTCTGTGGTTTAAAAAAATTAGACGAGTCGAAATTGAATAAAAGATTAGCCCCACTAGGAAAGAAATTATACTTCAATGAAGTAAAGAGAAAATAATAAAAAGCCGTATTTTTCCAGGAACATTAAACGTTAGATTTCCCGAAAACTTAAAAAGTGAATGTCATTCAGTATTTTTGAATGAATGGTTCAATAATGTTAATAATATAACGAAATAATACAAATAATTGTTAGTGTTCATGCCCTTAATTTAACTACTAGATTATGACGTGTTTCCGGAAATAATGAACTTCCGGTTATACTTTGTTTTTGAGGATGATACCTTATAAGGTAAACTAAGGTGGACAATTAATCTACAATAAGATGTAGTTTAGCGTATTTCAGTGGTATTTTGGTTTCAGCGTGTAGTGATTATATCTATGGACAAATAAACGGTACAATTTTTTTCGAAAACGACACTTTTTTTTTAACTTAAACATGCTTCTTATTATTATTCTTAAGAAAGTCTGGTAACCCAACTCGCATTGGATTCTGGTGCTAAATTATTCCGTTTCAAATTCAGCTCCATGCATATTCCCAGCTCTTTCCCAGTCCTCTGAAAATGTGACTGATGCTCATTCTCGTACCCAGAACCTACTCATTAGCCAAATCGTACTAATGAGTAGGGTCTGGGAACAAGAATGGACTGATACTGAACAGTTTGGTGCAGTTTGTTACTTATTTGAAAACATAAAATCGTTTTTCAACACTTCGGTTTAGGAGTAAAACCCTGCCATGGAGAGAACCAACGAGCAACTCTACTCGCATACACCTGTTTCAAAAAACGTTGTTGGTCGGAGATCTAAAACTTGAAATCTGAGTCTAAGTAGCACGCTGCAAATTGTAATATATTCACTGCCGGACGACGCAGTTTCCTTTTAGATTAGAATATGAAGAATGATCTTTGAGTAAGAAATATGATTTTCCATATTTTAGTCAGAAGACATAAAAGCATTTAAAAAATTCTCCAATCGCCCAGTCAGAACAAGTATAATATTCTGCGCTGACAAGCGACTGCATGTAGCGACTGTACGTAGTACGATACATTCCTTTCTATACAATGGACCGTAATAAAAGAAAAGAACACATAGACGACTTTCATAACTCAGTTTTTTCAGATAGAGAAAATGAAGCCTTCTTACCAGAAACTATTAATGCTATCTGACAAAATACTTCACGAAAACTATTTCCAGAAAAGTTTTTCAGAATTTGACTGCATACCAAAGAAGTTATGAAAGAACGAAAATAGAGAGTTTTGTATGTATTTATCACTGGAAGCCATGGTGGCCTCGTTTTGGTGCATTTTCAAAACTTCAAATGCTTACATCTTGTAAAGGATTTATTAATTTAAGTAGAAACTCACACGCCTTGTCTAAATCAACAAGATCAATGATTTAAAAGGGTTTTCACTCCAAAAACATTGATTTTTAATGTTTATGCAAATTAGCAGCAGCCAGTTGTGAAAGTCGTGTATGCATTTGTACATAATCGAGGCTAAAACTTAGCAATGGCGAACTCCAAATGGGAGTATTTTGAGCCAACTTGTGTCGTGACAATAACAAAATTACAAGTAGTACAGTTGTAGCAACCAGTCATGCCTTGTTATTATTGCAGGTACATTATTTGTTCCATTGCGGGTCCCACTCGGGTTAAATCTCATTAATAATTCATGAGGAAAAATAAAAATAAAAACACTAGCGTGAAGGAGGTGTGATCTTAATTAGCACAAACTTTGGGCAACTTCAATGCTTTGAAGGTACGATAACAAGGGGAAAAACAAAGTTTTACGACTTGCCACGTTATCTATCATAAATAGTATCTGTATCAAATTGAGCTGTATATGAAGCAACTTATGCAGGTGCAAATTGAAAGACTCAGAAAAAAATCTTATATAGTATCTGTTGACGTAGCTTCACGATCTTGAATTGGTACTCAATTGCGCATGCGTATTTGGAAAATTTTTGAGCCATTTATTTTGCACGACTTCGTGTTATTTCATTTCCCCTACGAACCGCACCCGTACAAGTAGACGACTGCCAGACAGACCTAAGACAGGTCACAGCTCGCTACAACAAACTCACAAGTAAAACGAGTTGGTCTTTTGAAGAGAATAACTACTTGCCTGCCCCTTTGAAGGACGAAGATTGAATCATTCTCAAACGGACAAGACAAAATGCTGTTTAGACAACGTGCAATTTCTTTCCATTTCAAGGTAAGAGGATTTTAAAGTTTTTCTTATTTAAACACAAATAAATTTAATAATTTTCAGCACACGTTTTGCTCTATTCTAGTGCCAGAGTACGGATTCTCGTGAGAGCTCAGTAACGGCATTATATTATAGTTATACTGAATATAAGATCATCTTGACCTTAATCTTAATTCTTTTTTTCATATACTCGTTTGAGAAATGTGTAATTTCAGTTCTTGGAATTAACAGGGTTCGTGCTACTCCTTAAACTCCTTGAAAACTCCTTGAATTTAATTCACGTTTTTAAGGGCACTTGAAAAGCTCTTGAATTTTATGATTTTAGCGAAACTCCTTGAAAACTCCTTGAATTCGGGAAATCTGAAAGTCGGCCATGTGCAACCACCGTGTAAGACCTTGGCATAGTTAGCTGAACATACTCCTTGAAAATTCATTTTTGGGTCCTCGTATACTCCTTGAATAGTCCTTGAATTTTAAGTGATTACCTCGGCACGAACCCTGTTTTAAGTTAGAAAAAAATTCTTAAAAACTGAAAATTTCACCGTAAAAAACCTGCCAAGAAATGAGAAAAGAAAAAGCTTGAAAACACAACGAAAAACGTCTAAAGGCGACCTAACAAGAAGATAAGAAAATAGGTCTTTTTCTTCACTGAGTCAGTAAAAGCGAGGAATTGTTCAAAGTAATGACACGTATAGTCTGGACCAGGTGATTTGGAATCTAGGCGCGCAATGCAATGCTTGTCACTCACGGCGAAGAGTATTTTCCAAGTATTTTCTATTATATCTTGTCAAAGCGAAATAGTTTTTTTTTTTTTTTCACCAACAAAATATTCTGTTTCTCTAAAAGTTACGTGATGTATTTTTCTTAATAACGATTGGTTTTATTTTCTTTAATTTTGAGTTAAAGCTGTTGTTTATTAAGCCGAAAACCTGGAACTAGGAAATGTTGAGCTTGGAACAAAGTGTAGAAGAAGTGAGAAGCGAAATCACCTGGGAATGGGAAGGTTCTACACTCAAAGTAAATATTTCAATGTCTAAGCTGATTTTTCCCCCACAGATATCGGTGCTGTTCATAATGGCGATGGCAATAAAGATGTCTTTCATGTTGCCTCGCAACCAAAAAGACATCAGCCAAGAGTGTGAGCCAATCAAACGAGAGATTCTACTCCAGAAACTGGGTCGAGCTTATAATCCCCACTTCATGGCAATGGATTCTAAGGATTTAGCTGCTAAAACCGCTGACCAGCCGGAACCACTGCCAGAAGACGCACTTGATGAAAGCCGCTATGGATCCGCGAATGAATCAGTCCAAGAAAAGCGAAGCTCGTCTACTAGACCAGGAGCGTGGACCTGTCAAATCAAAAGCAAATGGATTGATATGGGGAGAAGTTATTTTCCCCGTTATTACAAAACAGTCACGTGCTCCTCTAACGATTGCTGGTATGGCCATTTCCGGTGTCGAGCGCGGGAATTCCAGTTTCAAATAATGAAACGAAAACCCGGAGCAACATGTAAACGTAAGAAGATATCTTTGTTGCCGAATGCAACTAATACTGGACCTTCTTTTGATGCGATTTGGGAACTACATGACGTTAGTACTAATTTGTATTGCAAGTGCACTAACTAACATAACCCCTCTCCTCTCAGGAGCTTTTTCTGACCTCTAAATAACCTTTATTCGTCAGAAAATTACCTCAGTAAAAAGATTGTTAAAAATAAGATAATTGAAATAAATATTGAATAATTAAAATAAATATTATATAAAGATGATGAAAATATTATAAAAGATTATTCCCTTTATTTTTCAAAAGATTACCTCGATGTAACGATTGTTAAAAAATAGATATTGTTAAAGATAAATAAAACTTACTGCGGAAAATTGAAAAAATGAAGCAAACTGAATGAATAAATCACCAATTCTTTCTTTCTTTCTACCTTCCTTTCTTTCTTTCTTTCTTCCTTCCTTTCT